GCGCATGATATTTATCTATGTAACCAGATAGGCCTATGGCTTTATAATTACTTGAGAAATGATTAAATGAATAAAAAAAAAAAAAAATTGTGGGCTGTAGGTTGAGTACAAGGAAACAAAAGCATGGAGACAGAAAAACGGACAGACGGACAAACAAGCTTAGATAATAAAAGGAGGGTCTACATCAAAGCCTTCTGAGTGTTCCGAACTAACTTAAGATACTCTTGTTGAGTTGTAGGATACAATCATGTTTGAAGATTGTAATCTAATTTAGACCATAGATCGATGAAGAAAGTGTCTCTAAATCGATTGGTATAGTGGAAGATGCGTCTATTTCAAGTTCTTCTGGGTGATGCATACATCATCTCAGAGTCAATGTACCCTTATGCCACAAGTGATATAAGTACTAATGATCAAGTCTGCCTCATACACTTTCCTCATCCGACCAAAGTTAAAGTATCCTTGTGCCACAAATGGTATAAGGACTAATGATCATTTCTGTCTGACACAGTTTTTACTATGACTAACAAGTTGAAGATAGTGCTTTCAATATCTAGATGAATATGCATAAAAATGCATGGGTTCTTTGATTTTCTTTTATGAAAGATTTGGTGAGTGCAACGTGGTGATCCAGTAATTCATTATTCATAGCATTTTTATATCCAAAAAGGTCATGAAGGCAATGGAGGCGAAGTTGTAGCAGCGCTACGCAATGACAGTAGGAAAGTGGTAGCAAGACTTGTACATGCGTCGGGAACCTTTTCAGGTGTTAATATGGGCTTAATTGAGAGCATAGGTAGGTGTACAGGTCGAACCATATGATGAGCCCTACAGAATTCAGAAGATGTTTAAGTGACCCACCTTGCATCGTTGCATATTCTTGATCATCGTGAAATTCTGAGTTAATTCTGTTCTGTTAAAGCTGTTCGCGTTCTGCTGTTCGCAAAAATGAAGATATCGACTTCAAATTTAGAAAAATCTTTGAAAGTTTCTGTACGCAGGTTAGTGTTGAAAAAGGGCCAAAATGGTGGGAGCGGAAGCGCGCAATGGAACTCAAACTGAATGTATCTTAGTTTTTTTAAAGACAAATTTTTGTTTTTTTGGTCGTTACTCGGAACACTTCGTTACGAAACACTCTACCCGTTAGGACTAAAATTGGAATCAATCGGCCATGCCCACGCAATGTTACAAATAATTCAATTTTATTTTTGTTTCACTTTTTTGAAGTTTTATGCTTATTTATCATAAGGCAAACAAGACAGAATGCTTAACACTATTTTCTACATCCGTCGAATGCAGATATATTACCCGTCTAAAGAGGGATTGATTTGGAAATGAATATGGTAGATAAAGCGATTAATTTTTTCCTAGTAATACCAACGATATAGGTATCAAATAAAAGAACTTGAAGAGTAGAATGTGAAAAGTATAGTGGCGGGCATGCGAGATTCGGCCTTCGCCGAATATAACAAGACATTTCCCTTCGCATTCGCCTTGCTCATACAATTGCAACACACTAATGGATCATCAGGAAGTCTCTTTCTCCAATTTGCAAATGTAAATTGTGAAAAATCTTATGCCTAAATACAGTAATCCCCCCTATAACACGGTGCCCTTATAACGCGTTTTCATATTACGCCCCCGTATAACACGGGCATTCCCCCATATAACGCGAGGATTTCTCACATACATATTTCTGTACTATTCATATGCATAAATTTTTTTTTATTTATATTCTTAGTTTAGGTTGATTATAATAAAACGTTATACGAGATCGTAAAAACGAGTTATACGACAACACTCTTATAATGCGTTTTCTACCAATCTGCCGCGTTATAGGGCGGATTACTGTATATATACATTGTGGACGCCGAAGGTGCGGTTGATTTTTTTACAAACATATATACCTTCAAATTTTTATAGATTTATCCGAGAGATTTGTTTGTGAGTAATGAGTAATAAACCTAATATTCATTTCTTTTTGGCAAGTAGTGAGGTGTTCTCACTGTATGTTCCACTGTAGGCCGATTCGGATCATTTTTAATAGTAACCGGCTTGCAGAAACTTTCAAATGTTTTTGTCAAACTTATAGACGATAACTTCATTATTGCAACCAAACAGACAGACGAACTTGCTTAACTCGTTACCGAATTTGACGCTGATGGAAGGTATATATATATCAGCATATATATATATATATCAGTTTGCTTGTGCTTGAAATTATTAATTTAGCGAACAATAATTGAAATTAAAAATTAAAGAAATATGAAAAATTGTTTTAAAACACACCTGATTATTATTAAATATTGTGTCGGTGACAAGTCAAGGTCGCTGCAACGAAAGCAATTGGATTTTCATTCAGAGGTAGAGACTTTGTTAAGAAATAATGAATTTTTACTTTCTTGTTAACGTTGTCAGGTTTTTTTAAATTTCCTGATGAACATAATTTAATTGTAGTTTCCAAACGCTCTGTGATACCTTCCTTTCATACAGAGTTGATTCGATTTGAGTTTTTCTTAAAGAACGCAGCGAACACTTACTCGTAATGCAATGCATACGAAATGAAGTAGAAAAAGTAATATCGTCAGTAGAAAGTTTGACTTATTGGAAATAAGAGAAAGCCTTAAGGTTTACCAATGTAAACTATAAAAGGAAAATGTGACTTGTATATATTAACATAAATGTACGTACGTAACCAACCGCAAATACCCACAACGTTTATGAATATGAAATGTAAAAGAAAAAGAACTGCTTGTTAACCAGTTGACCTTCAATATTACAAGGGCGAGTAAACAAACACAGCGGGTATATGTACATATATATGCATGTGTATGTGTGTATAGTCTGTGGTGCATAAAGTGAGTACGGGATGAAAACCATATGGATATACTTACATACGTACAAATATCCATAAATGCATATATATATATATATATGTATATATATATTTGTATATATATACATATATAAGGATATATATATACACTTGTCAATTTTTATATATATATATATATATACGGATATATAAAGACACTTGACATATTTTCACGACTTAGTGAAGAAGAAAAAAAAAATCATTACACAACATATTTAATATTAAAACGTAAAAAGGGGAAAATGCAGCTGACATTTTCAGTAATAAACAGTCAGATACATTTACTATGCTATATATACACACATACATATATATATATACATAAATACATATATACATACATACATACATACATACATATATGCATAGATATTTATGCAAAAGTTATTATTTATGACTTTCATGGCTGTAAGTATGCAAATGAAGCCTTTAATGAAGTCCCAATTCTACGAAATATTTATAATAAAAGGAAAATCTTACCTGAATGAAAGGCCAACGATAGAAAGGAACAGTTTTACTAAATTTGCTTAACTGTTGCGCATACATATATATGTATGTATGAAAATATTATATAAGTTCAAGTGTAGCATTTAATTTCATTTAAAAAAGAATGTAATTACTTTGAAAGAAAAAAAAAAAAAAAAAAAAAAAAAATTAAAATAAAAAATTAATTTTGTTTGTTTTAATAAAATTAAAAAATCAATTAAGTAATATAAAAAAATTTTTTAACAAAAAAAAAAAAAAAAAAGGAAAAAAAAAACAGAAAAAAAACCTAACATTTATTGCTCAATAAACGGGATATGAAATGGCTTTGTAACCTTCAACGATAGTTATAAATATTTTAAAAATAATATCAATTACTTATGCAGTCGTTGGTGCGTGATTTAATTTTTGCGAAAATTAAAAACTACGCTAAATAACGGCAAATAACAGCACTCTACAGTGTGTATTAGCAACATATATAAATAGTAAAATACTTTAAAGTCAATCAAGTCAATGACTTCACTAAACAGCAAACAAACAAACAAAGAAGCTTTTTAATCACCTTGTTAGAGCTTCAATGTCATCTTTACTTGGAATTTCCAGCAAACTTTCTTCTCACAGACTAATCACGCTTAATCACGCTTTTTTTTTTTTGCTGCCATTAGGAGGTAATCAAGAAATAGCGGGTTTGAGTTGTATGTGTATATGTATGTATGTATGTGTATGTGTGTGTGTGTGTGTGTGTGTGTGTAAACTTTCTCGTCCTTAACCTTAATATGTTTTGCTAATCGTTAAGAGTAAGAATAACATTGACCTTATTTCCTATCGTAGATGTTGATGAAGTTGAGTCCGTGTTGTTTTTGTACTTTTCAAAAAGCGATTATGCTCTCTCTCTCTCTCTCTCTCTCTCTCTTCGTATAGAATTTTCCGTATTCAAGTTCGATGATCAGTGGCATTCACATGCCTTTTTTTTTTAAGAAAACAAACCCATATATCAATAGTTTCATGGAAGCGCATATCTCTGCTAACTTAATAAGAAAATGATGTCATTTTTGTTGCGATTCTTCCCCGTCTATGTTAATAATTATGTTACTACTACATACTTTGTCGAAGGAGCAAGTAAGAACTTTTCCTTTTTTAATTCCTAGTTCCATTTCCTTTTGTGAATAGCTTTGCGTAAATGACGCATAACATTGAAATAATATTTCTTTCTGACGGCACAACACGACGAACACGATGATTGAAGAAAACTGCTTGCATCACTTTGATTTTTGAGCCATTTTGGCGCGACGCTTTCAGTCATGCCTTTGTCTGTTGTTTCCGGGTCGCATGCATAGATTCAAACGTCATCTCATTTCATTTCGCAAACAACTTTAATGCAACTTCTTTGCTCATCGAGAGTACACAAATTGTAAAAATCGAAAAAAAAAAAAAACTTTTTATCTCGTAGTAAACCAAGCGTAGCTGAAACACTAATGACGTTCATGTGTGTGCTGCTATCAATTTAGAAAAAAGTATTACTGATATTCGATATATTCGCGCAATTCACTTATATAAATAGTCGTACCTTTTGGACAAAGTGTTATATAAATATTTTCTTATTATTCATGTTTAACGTTTATATCTATTTTTCGTTTTGCAGATGGCTGGTGCTGGTGATCCCAAATGGCAAAAAGATGCTGCCGATCAAAATTTTGATTACATGTTCAAATTGCTTATAATCGGCAATTCGAGTGTTGGCAAAACGAGTTTTCTATTTCGTTATGCTGATGACAGTTTCACCTCAGCGTTTGTCTCAACAGTCGGTATCGATTTTAAAGTGAAAACAGTTTTTCGCCATGACAAACGTGTTAAACTGCAAATATGGGTAAGTAAAGTAAGCAAAGCAAACCTCTTTACTAACTTTTGAGCGAGTGAGCGAATGGCTTCAAAAATTTAAATAAGAGTCATATGATCATGTTATAGGGATAACAGTGATTGGTGACTGGGCAAGAAAGCCTGTCGTAGCCTTTTTGACTTTGCTTCAAATTTTGAAATTTTTTTTAGAAATAATTTTACGACAAAACGAAGAGTTGTGAGACACAGCACACTAAGCATTGTATATTCAGGTTAGACATATGCGAATACAAATTAAATAATAATATGCATCACGATAGTACAGTGAGCAAAAAGAAAGTTTTACTCACAGCTCACTACTTATCATAAACTTGCGATTTTGTTTTTTTTTGATATCTTTTGAAAGTTGAAGGCCTTTGATGTCTTTAAAAGCAGAGAATTACAAAATGTCACAAAATTAATTTGTCGGTCGCCTTGTGATGCGATGCTGCCCACAATATGACTCTAAATAAGAAAATTTAAATTACAATCTTAGGATAAATCTTGTCAAGGTAATGCGTAAGAGATGGAAAAGTACTTTTAGGCGCATCACATAGTCGATCCTAAGTAATAATTTGCGGGAACTTGTAGATGCTAAATGATACCAAGTTTTACGAGAAAGTTTTGATAATCTTAGTAGGCTCGTGCTGAGGGCTAGCGCTCACGTACGAGTTAGTTTGCAGTCGTCGGCTACTTTTTTAAAATTTTCATCATTTTAATGTTTTATACAAAATCGAGAATGTATAGATCGAGCGATCGGCGTGGAAATGATTGAGATAAGAATAAATCGTCGCAAAATCTTGTAGGCTTTTGACATTTACTTCCACATGTTACAAGAAGAACAACAAATTTATTCCACGCACATTTGCATTGGTGCATACACTAATTAATTGAAAGACTGTAGAGGACAACACTTTTAATTTGGCCATTGATTAAAAATTGATGAAAAGCTACTACTAAAGTAATAGTCAAACATCAGGAAATCACATAAAGCAATATTTAAAGGATATTATCTAGGATGTTATAAATTTTGTTTCGTTTCTCTTGTTTTATTATTAATTCAATTAAATTATTATATGATTTCACTTTCGAAAATATGCAAAGGTAATACGAAAAGTAATTATAAGGAGAGATGACTTTGAAAGATTTTCCAAAGCTAGTCGTAGTAGTAGTTTTATCAGTATACTGAGCGCCGAAATAACTTGATTAGTACAACAACAAAATTGAAGCTGCGAAGCCCTCTTGACTTATGACAAAACAGAAGAGTTTTGACGGCAAGATTTTGATATATTATCGACATAAAACACTCGTGTAATTAAAGTACAATTCCTGATCAATCACCGCATCACGAATCGAACCTCGATCTTTTGGCTGAATGCGGCAGGCCTGAGCACTAGACCACGTTCCCGCTACGCGAATACATCGTCTTCAAGTTTATGAAAACCTTATACCAAAGAAACTTACACCAAAAAAACTTACACTATGCGGCCTTCGATAAAAATGAGAAAAGCGGGTCAAATAGAGAGAGAGAAGGTTCTATAAAAGTAAAAATTCGCAAAAATTCGTTTCGTTTACGTTTAAAAATGTTTCTTCTTTTTTTTTATAAAAAATACTTTAAAAAAATGGTTCCAGTTTAAGGGAACGCAAATTGATTTCTCGCCTTTACCTCATAACAGGAACTTTTGCTTTTCTTGAGAATGACTTCACTACATTGTCTCTTTACGCTGATTAATTTATCTACTTCAGGACACTTTAAAACGTTTTAATCTTTTCAATTTTTAGAATTTCGAGACAAAAATCGATTAGTAGTAGTATTTCAGCAATTGAAATTCGGATGAAATCTTTGGATCGCAAGGGCCAAATTTGTCGAATTCCTTGTCATATAACCGTTCCTAGGGAAACTATACGGTAAAGAGGTTTAATTTTCAATGAAAGCTTCTTCATGATAGTTTGTCCATAATAATAATTTTATATGAAAATTAATTTCATCGAATTTGGATTACATCGGTCTATTTCTTGGAATTAGTTTAATGAAAAATAGGGCTTTATATGTCAAAAAATATTATGATCAAAATTTCTCCTTAACTATAGGGAATTTACATCACTTAAATTTCTTTTTTTAGACCGTGCATGGGCTCTCTCGAAAGTAAACCCTTCCATACCGGCGATCTTTAATTTGTGGTTTTTTATGACGGAAGCAATTGGAAAAAAATAAACTATTTGCTAAGTAAATTAAATTTGCATAAAAAGTCACAGTCATTTTTGGCGTATTATTAATTAAGTGAAGTAGATAGGATGAGGATCGACCTCGCCCGACTATAGCATTCTTACTGGTTTTATATTTATAATCATATCGTATCAACAAGTCTTTCCATGCAGATAATTTCTTCCGGTTTTCCCGCTTTAACTTATTTCGATACATGGGTAAAGGGGGGGGCCCGCACGCCGCGAATGCATATGAACATCCGTAACTATATGTCACGTAAGCACATTTTCATTTTGCGAGAAATTATAGTTTATAGATTTAAACTGCCTTGTGTGAGTCTATTTGCTTCAATAATTTGTAATTATGCCTCCATTACACATTACGTGTAATATTCACCGCATGTGTTACAGTTATTGAGAGAAAAAGAAAAAGTCATAAATTTTTGTTTATTTACTTGTCAATAAAAACTATGGTTTAAATATTAAATAATGTTTAATGTTTGTTAAACGTAATAAATTAATTAGTAAAAGAAAAAGAGCAGAAATTTTAAATAAAGAAAAAATTTAAACTTTTATAAACGAATTCCTTATCCCCTTTAAGCGAATAGGAAGCATTTTGAGTTTTGTAAAATAATAGAAGAAAATGCGAGGAATTCTTTTAAAACCATTTAAGTAAAGTAATTGAGTGGAAAGTAATTTTCTGATAGCAGGAGAAAATGTACAAAAAAAATCCTTGAAACTATAAAAGTTATTTGCAATGAACAATAAAATGTTGAAAATTCAGGATGAAGAAAACACTGTTTACTGAACAATCTCGAAATGCTTTGTTTAAATTTAAAGTTACTTATGATGAAAGTCGATTTGGAAGCGCTTTCATGATCATCACTCAAAGGTGAAGGAATAACAATTTTGTCATTTTATTTGTACTCTTCAGGTATACCGCAAAAACGCCAAGTCTCTTATGGGGTTCTTTAAAAAGTAGTCTAAGGATTTTGGCGATGCTTACATTAAGAAAAGCGTATGTAAGTCCATGGTTAGACCAATTCTAGAATATTTAGCTGCAGTGTGGGCACCAAGCTATGGATACCATATAGACCTTACTAAGACAGTGTGAAGGTCTAAGAATATCGGCGATCTTCATATTAAGAAAAGCTTATATACGTCCGTGGTTAGAATATTCAGTTGCGGGCACCAAGCTATGGATACCTTATAGATCTTACTAAGACAGTGCAACGGTCTAAGCTTTCTGACAATCCTTGTATTAAGAAAAACTTATAGACGTCCATGGTTAGACCGATTCTAAAATATTTAGTTGCACAGCGTGCTCCAAGCCATGGATGCTATATGGATTTTACTAAGACCGTCTAACGGTCTAAGGATTTCGACGATCCTTGCATTAAGAAAAGCTTATAGACGTCCATGGTTAGACCAATTCTAGAATATTTAACTGCAGTGTGGGCACCAAGCTATGGATACCTTATAGATCTTACTAAGACAGTGCAACGGTCTAAGCTTTCTGACAATCCTTGTATTAAGAAAAGCTTATAGACGTCCATGGTTAGACCGATTCTAGAATATTTAGTTGCAGAGCGTGCACCAAGCCATGGATGTTATATGGATTTTACTAAGACCGTCTAACGGTCTAAGGATTTCGACGATGCTTGCATTAAGAAAAGCTTATAGACGCCCATGGTTAGAATATTCAGTTGCGGGCACCAAGTTATGGATACCATATAGATCTTACTAAGACAGTGCAACGGTCTAAGCTTTTTGACGATCCTTGCATTAAGAAAAGCTTATAGACGTCCACGGTTAGACCGATTCTAGAATATTCAGTTGCAGAGCGTGCACCAAGCTATGGATACTATATCGATTTTACTAAGACCGTCCAACGGTCTAAGCTTTTTGACGATCCTTGTATTAAGAAAAGCTTATAGACGTCCTTGGTTAGACCAATTCTAGATCTTCTAAATCTGCTCACATCTACTTTGCTCTATGATAAAAACTCTCCGTGTGGAGAAAATAAAGTGGAAAAACAAAATTTGATCTCTAGTCAGTGACTTTGAAAATAAAAATAGTAGACCGTTCTTGTGTACATCTTGTAATCCAAAGTCATTTTATTCTTATCTTAATATCGACCGGTTGTTTTAATATGAATAAATAGTTTCCAAGGTCAGAATAATCCAGCGATATAAGTAATAAAAAAAATTAACTATGTTACAAATTATTCACGAACTAGCAACTAGGACTGATAATCTGTCCCTCCGACTCGCAAGCTACTGCTGTGGAACTTAAAATATAATATTCAGTCTTAAGTTCGAGAAATCAAATTTAAAAAGGCTCAATAGGTAGTTCAGCATATGAAGCAAAAATAGATGACCCGTAGGTATAAAATTCTAATTTCCTTTGGCTTTGTTCGCCACTTCCTGAAATTAGAGAGAGGTGTGACAGAGCGAAAGAAATAGCGGGCAATGGCGGCAGTCTAGCGAATTTATACCCATCCAATCGGCCCAGTAGGAATACGACATAGATAACACCAATCTGGTAGTCGCGGTTTTTAACTACTCGGCTATGCGGCTCAAGAATACATTTTCCCATAATTTGAGAATAAATTTGCTTACGCTTGCACAAAATTTTACCTTGCGACATATACGAGAACGTATCATCAATCAATATAAATCAATATAAAATTTGACAGAAACCTTGGCAAAGATTGCTCGGAAGTCCAAGATCGGCCCATAACCAAATTGACTCATTTTCTGAGATCTATCTGAGATTTGCTTTCATTTTTTAAATTGTTTTCATATATTTTTTTTTATTTTTAGGACACTGCTGGTCAAGAACGTTATCGTACGATAACGACAGCATATTACCGTGGTGCTATGGGTTTCATATTAATGTATGATGTAACAAATGAGGACAGTTTTAATTCTGTACAAGACTGGTAAGCGCAAAGCAATGACAAGAATTTCTATTTTCCAGAAAGAAAATATTTTTCAATTTTTATATATAATCTTAAAAAAGGGTTACACAAATCAAAACCTATTCTTGGGATAACGCACAAGTTATACTGGTGGGCAATAAATGCGATATGGAAGATCAACGAGTAATATCGTTTGAAAGAGGCCGACAACTGGCCGATCAGTTGGGCGTCGAATTCTTTGAAACCTCAGCCAAAGAGAATGTAAATGTTAAGGTAAGATTTTCATTAAAAAAAAAAAAAAAAAAAAAATTGATATAAAAAATTTATTTTAGGCGGTCTTTGAACGTTTGGTGGACATAATTTGTGACAAAATGTCGGAGAGCTTAGATGCAGATCCCACGTTAGTGGGTGGTGCTCAAAAAGGCCAACGACTGACAGATCAACCTCCTGGCACACCCAATGCCAATTGCAATTGTTAAATTTATTTTTTCCTTTTTTTAAAATAAATTGAAATTTGTCTCTTTTAAGTGTTTTTGTTTTTATTTATTTATTTATTTATTTTTTTTTTTAAATTTGTTTTTAACTTAATATATAGGATCTTTTTGTTACACTAAAAAAAAAAAAACAAAAAGTTTCACAATATTAGCTAAAAGTGAAGGAAATAAAATTTATGATTATAAGAAATTAAAAAAAAAAAAAACAATTTTAATAAAAATAAAAATTTATCAAAACTAATACTAATAATAACATTTACAATAAACTAATATTTATGAAATAATAAAAAAGAACTAATTTTACATAAATGAGAGAAAGTAAACAAAAGAAAAAAAAAAAAAAAAATTATAAAAAAAATAAAAAAATTCTTATTTAAATTAAAAAAAAAAAAAAAAAATAGCTGAAAATGTTTCATATATAAGAAGGAATTATAAAAATCTAAAGAAATTGCAGTAAATGCTTAATTTAATTATTATATAAAAAAAAAATAAAAATAAAAAAATAAATAAACAATTGTTTCCATACACATTATCATTATTGAAAAGGATAATATACATAGTTATATACAATATTAAAAAAAAAAAAAGAAGAAAAAAAAAATCAATAAAAATTAAACCAGAGACGATAAAATAAAACGATTGGATTGGTGTGGATTGTTATGTGTTATTATTATAAACTAATATAAACATATACATATATATATATATGTATATATATATATATACATATACATACAATTATATTCATGCAAGAATATATAAATCTAATATCAAAAAAAAAAAAAAAAGAAGAAGAAGAAGAAAAACGTATACAAAAGTATTTTACAATTTTTTTCTTTTTATTTTATTCAAATTTTTTTACAGTGTACTCTCTTATACGTTTATGTATCTTAGATTTACCTTTTTTAAATCATTTTTTTCTACAAAAGCTTTTTCTGTAAAACACAAAACGTATAAAATTTATACTAAATAATAAATATACATTAATAATAATAATAATAATAATAATAATAATATAAAAAGAAATTAAATTTAATATATAAAACCATATAAAATCTGCCAACTCTTTTTGTATAAATAGTATAAAAAATCTAAACACAATTTTTCTCTAATTCATCTCTTTCTCAACATATTCCCCTCGTCCTTCCCTTGCCTTAAAATCGTGAAACATATATAAATTTCTTGTGAAAACCGTAATTTTTTTTATAATAAACTCAAAACTAAGCTTACATTATACCTCTGAGTTTCAAGGAAAACAATTTCAATAAGCGTTCATAAAAGTGATGTATGTGATTCCATGTATAAATTCTCAATTGACATTAATACTTCCTTTGTACGATAAATGGGACATTGTCTCATGACCACACTCTAAGCATCTTTGCAAAGATTTCACAAGTCACATCCTATTTTTTGGTCCGTTGTTTCCTTAACTTAACAAACTTGTGTTACAATATCGTTCAAGTTTTATAAAATCGTTCGAGGGTATCATTACAGCTATCCCTTCGAAATGTCAAATTTTATTCGAACCTAATAAAAAATGAAAACAACACAGACCACACAGCCTTGCTCTTACATACAGTGGCCAGTCACAATGCCAAAACATTTCCTTTAGTCTTCAAGCACTTGATAATACGTATATAAATGTATGTATATGTATGTAAACGTATATCTATATATGTGTATATGCGAAAATATATGTGTGTTAAGTGTATGTGCATACATATAAGCGTATATATATATAGCGTATATGCATAAGCGTATGTATATGTATATATATATATATGAATATGTATGAACATATATATATATATAAACAAATATAAATGTATGTGTGTATATATATGTACGTATATATATAAATATGATTGATGATATATATACATATGTATATATATATTGCCGTATAGATTGCCGTATATAGATTGTTTCAAATGCTGAGACGCACCAAGTAAATGCCATATACAGATGGCAGTCGCTAATAGGAAATACTAATAGAGAAACTTCTACTTCCAGGCAGATTTTATACATGTAGATTATATAGTCTACAGGTCTTTGGTGGCTAACGCAACCAGCATAGATGTGAAGTTATAAATCGATTTCTTGGAAATAATATCGACACCGTATGTGAAGCATATAACTTGTCGTTTAAAGTTTTGTTTCCCCCGCGTAGCACTAAAAGATCATATTTGATGCAGTGATTGCTTTTCGTCGCTTTATTACTTTCTGGGGTAACGATAAATTTAAAATTTTCTCTTCTTAATTTTCTTAACTTTCGTTTCTAAATCCGTAAAGGCATACAACTTATCGATTGATTATATGGCCACTAGGTCGCAGCGATTGCATATGTGTTTTTCTTTTCTCATTTCTCTTCGACCCGTTTGCGTTCCGCATGCAATCTTACATATCTGACATGATTGATATTATACGTGCTGTCAAAATAGTAACAGGAAAGATCTGTTCAAAAATCGCCCTTCTTTAAATATTGTTGTATATTTTTGGCTTATGGCACTTATCGAAAGTGAATTAGAAGCGAGCAGATTTTATGAAAAAGGCTGCCTTTAAAAATTCCATTCTGTTTAAAAGTTTGTTTAAAAGTTAATAAATTAATAAATTAATCCATTTTTGTGGCACTTTTCATAATACTTATCAATAAGGACATATGGACAGACAAGCATAAATATTTAAGTTAACAATCGAAAGAGTCATGAATGCGTATATTTCGTATGAATCTATTTGAAATATTCGCTGAGAATTTAGAGCAAACGGATAACGACCATCTTTTGAAATGTTACTCCTCTTATATCTTCAGTGCAAAATTCTGTAAAACAAATTTAATAGGTGAAGGATCTCATATAGCAAACATTTCTAAGTTTCTTATCAAGTAACAGAAAGAAAGAGAGAGACAGAAAGACAGAGACCGAAAGAGAGAGAGAGAGAGAGAAAGAGAGAGAAAGAAAGAGAGAGAAAGAAAGAGAGAGAGAGAAAGAGAGAGACTGAAAGAGAGAGAGAAAAGAAAGAAAGAGAGACAGAGAGAGAAAAAGAAAGAAAGAGAGACAGAGAGAAAGAGAAAGAGAGAGAGAGAGAGAGAGAGAGAAAGACAACTATTTGGATAAAGATGATCCATTTCAAAAGAGAAAGAGAGGGAGACAAACAGACAGAGAAAGAAAGAGAGAGAGAGAGAGAGAGAGAGAGAGAGAGAGAGAAAGGCAACTATTTGGGTAAAGGTGATCCATTTCAAAAGTGAAATAAATTTGAAATAATCATTTCCTCTCCTTGAGAGTATCAGTATCAGTATCCTACGATATTAAAAACTCAGTCGCATAATCTATTCTTAGATCTTAATTACTGAAAACATTTTTCATTCCATTTTTCGCATTTTTCCACAATTTCTTATGATTTTTTTTTTTTAATATTTGTATTTACAAAAAAAAAAAACCAAAAAAAATTTATTATAACCACAACATTTATTATTGTATTTTAAAATAAAAAATTGAATGTTTTTTGAGTCGAAATGATTTAATAAAAATATAAAAAATTTAATAGAAAAGAAAACCAAAAAAAAAAAAAAAGTAAATAAACAAACAATAATGAAAATTTGAATTGTACTCCATGTATTTGTTCCCACACTTTGCATATACCTTTAGCATAAATATACATAAAAAAACATATATTTATAAATTTATTTAAAAACCAAAAAAAAAAAAAAAAAACAGAGAAAAAAAACAAAAAGGAAAGGAAAATCATTGATAATAATTAACATATACAAAAAGACATAAGTAACAAGAGAACAAAAATAAATCAATTAAATGTTTAGTGAAGAAAACAAGTAAAAAAAAAAAAAAAAAGAAAAAGAAAAAAGATATGTGGTAAAGTAGAAAATGTGGATTATAAAACAGATATAAAACAAAAAAAGTTGACATTTGAATGTATTGCATTGGAATGAATATAATAAAAAATTATATACATACATACATAAAAATTAATAAATAAATAAATAAATTGTATTGATGATATACATATATAAAATATAACAAAATCTAAAATGATTTTCAATACATGCTCGAGACAAATTCTCTTCGAAATTTTATGCAGTTGCCACAAACAGCTCAGTTAGGTTAAAACGGTTGGATTGAAGTCATTCTTTTCTCTTCATAGGTAGACTTTTTTGTAAAGCAGGTTCTCTAAAACACGTGTTAACGGGTTAGATTCTTGATAAATCTCAATCATTTTCTTCGCTTAGTTGAATTGTTTTTTTAATAATCTACGTACAGCAATTCAAATTTTTTTGCCCTATACCTCTTGCCCTACACCACTCTTGTGGTACAATGGTAGGTTAAATTTTTGCTAATGCAGGCAACACCTAGAAGGACGTGCCTTTTATTATACTGACCGATTTTAAAAAATGATTCTGATTGTCTGTCCGGCTGTCCCAGTTGTATTCTTGTGTTCAACCTAAACGCAGTAATTTTTGAGATATTTTTATCAAATTTGTTGTATTGATGTCTTTTGGCTCAAGGACGAACTATATTGAAATGAAAATGATTCAGATCAGATCACTTTTTCGACCACTTCTCACATTAATGCCTTATATTGAAAAGTCGTTATACAAAAAACTGTGATGGTGTAAGGTACATAATCGTGAACTTTGCCCCACTATAACGACTTTATTTGTTTTTTATATTGAAAAAGAGCAGAGCAATCCTAGCTTTTTCTCTATCACTCATGTTTTTTATTTTGAAATGCGTCGGATCGTTTTCGAAATCTGGGAAAAGTCTTCGCCCACGGCAGTTTACTACATTTAGTTACCCCTTACAACTCGAAAGAGTTTAACGCAAACCATTTGATTGCAACCAGCGCACGAACACGCTTCATGGACTTGTTTCGTGGAAGACCATGATTAAACTGGGAGAGACGGACAGACAAGCTTAGAGCGATTCGGAAAGTGATTCTGAGGTCCTTCTGGGCGTTGCATACGTTTGCACAAAATTGATATACCCTTGTAGTGTTGAGTAAAAATATTATTTTATCCAAAGAAAGATATAAAGAAGATATTC